CCCCAAAACCCCAAAACCCCAAAACCCCTAATCCTGAATTTGAAATGCTCTAAATAAAGTAAGTAAGTAGAAATTAATAGTATATTCTGTGTAAAAATAGGGGCGTTAGTTATATCATTGAAAATTCTCAGCTAAAAAATTGTTAATATTGGGCATTTGAGGTACTTAATCCTCTTATTAATGAGAACTACTAGCTTTTTCTGGCCTTTAATATTGATTTTATGATTTCTTTGAATCAGCTTTTTTATTCGGAAGGTAAATCAAGTTGAAGTTATTATGATTGTTTATTATTTAGCCTTTGATTTGGCAACCTTTTTAAGCAATTTATCCTTTTTTATCTACATGTTTATAAGTAGGCATAAGAATTTATTTTATCCGTCTGAGTTCATTCTTAAACAACTAATCATCATAGTCTAAATCTTCAGACTCTATAATTGAAGATTCCTGATGATTGTTGTAGGAAGATTCCTAAAGAGAACTCTCTCTTTCTGGTTCATTATGATCTCGATAATGCATATTCTCATACTCACTTTGATGCCAATCTAAATCATTCTAGAAACTTTCACTTTCATTGCCTTCTGTGTCTATTTGTTACCTATCTGAAGATTCTAGATTATTATATCTCGCACCTAGTATCCTCAAGTTTATTTTCTATTTTTATTTGCTAGAATCCTAATATAATGCGTTCTAAATCACTCCCAAATTTTAAGGCGAAGCAATGAAGCAAGGAGTCATCAGATTTTGGTTGTTAAAATTTGATTAATCAGAGTTTTTAATCTAAGTTTGAATAAGTTCTTCGTAAGGTCCATAGTGTGAATTGTCTTTATGATTAATTTCTCTTTATTTCCTTTCTGAACTGTGTTATTGGACTCCGAAACTTTCACACTTTCTGTGTCTATTATCAATTAAATCGGAGTTTGTATATATATTTTCTTAGGGCTTGGATTTACTATCAATGAAATTTCTAAAACTTTCCTCATAGAAACTCTAGAAATTTAGAGTTTGAGGAACATTTGAAGTACTATCTTCAAAAGTGTGAGCCTTTGCAGATGATCAGTCTATCTTAAAAACTAGATCCCCGAACGCAATCTCTTCTCTCGATCTTATTGATTCAACTTCAAGATCATCTTGGTAAAACACAGATCTTTATTAAATATTGTTATCTTGCTCAAAATCTGTAATCTACTTTCCAAGAAGTTATTCTGAAGAAACAGTAGGCTCATTCATTAACTTTTCCTTGTCCGAGCCATCAGTTAAACCTCTTTTTAAGTTAATGAATTATTGTGTTGCTTGCAGTTTAATTTTTTCGAATTCTACCTGAAGTGATGCATGAGAAGATTCTTGTATAGAAATTATGCCTTTTCTATTTTATAATTTCGATCCACTATTTTTAATTGAGGTATTAAGGTCTTTCTAAAACTTTTGAGGCATGATAGTCTGATTTTATGTTTAACTCATGAAATTTCTGAGAATCTTTCTAGTCTATCCTCTAGGAACATCTATGAAATTTAAGTTGTTGTTATCGCTGTACCTTTTAATTTTAAAGGAGTGGCTTCTTTACTAAAAAGATTGAAGCATATTTTATTGAGGCGAATGAGAGCTCTCCAAAGACTGTCTATTTCGGCTATGGTTTGATGACTAGTTCGTATTTAGATTATTAATAAGCAAATTATTATTTTGGGACTTATCCAGTTTAGCTTAGTTTTGGAATCTTTTACTGCCCTCAGTGCTATTACCCCTATTTTTACGCTAGTGAATTTTACTTATAGTCATGCTCTTCATGAACTATGACATGTCAAAATTCAGTTGCTGCTGATCTTTTAATCTAGTATCCTATTTGCTTTTTAATTTGTTTTATAGTTATGATATTTCTATTTTTCGCTAATTCTTGCTGCTTATCTTAACAAACTTTGGGTATTAAGTATATGAGTTATAGATGTTTTAGGACTCATTATTCTTTAAATCATTAATTCTAGACTATTCAATCTAATGATTCTTTTGTGATCTAATTGAATCTGAGTTGTTTCTGCTGTTATACCTAGATTAATTTGAGCTTTAATCTTTTCTTTTAGATGATGCTTCAACTTAAGTTTAATTCAGAAACTTCTTTCGATTTAGTGATTTCTAGCTTTGGTTCAAGCCGTATATATTGCTCAGAGTTTCAAACTATTTCTTGTAGAGATTATTACTTTGGAGTTTATCGGATATTTTATCTGGAAGAAGATTCATTAGACTTGAATCTCGACGAGACTATATATTCTATATGCTCTAGAACATTTGATCCAATCCGTTTTGATTCATGTTAAGGGATCCAGATATGGAATTATTTTGGATTGATTTGCGATTAAGTATATTTCTACTTTATTTCTCCCAATACGGATTAGAATTTTTGGCATTTAATATATAGGCTGATGAAGATGACCCGTAATTTGGGTAATTGCTATTAATCAATGGAGTCTAAAGTAGATTTTGATTTAGATCTTAGTTTGTCGCCACTTGCTGCAAGTTCTTGTTTATTTAAAAAGAAGTATTTGGGCCTATTGTGATGAGGTTCTATGAGGAAGGATTACTTGTCTAATGTTAATTGATGGGCAAGTTCTACTTAAACTAGATCAGCTGGTTTCTAGTATTATTTTATACCAGATTCTTAATCATGCTGCTATCCTTATTTAAAAAAGTCTGAGAGGAATTTACTCCAACTCCCCCTTGACTTAATTTCCCCTACTTATTATTTTATTTCTTGCTTATTACTGACCCATTTAGTAGTTCTAATCTTGCAAGGATCGAAGGAATGACTAGTTTATCGAGATTTTAAAGCTAAATTAACTAGTTTTGTTCAGTTTTTTTCATCGGCGAGTACTCTTAGTAAGTGTTAAGTAAATTTTATTTCTTGCGATTATTAGAAGGCAGAAGTTATTTCATATTTTCCATAATCTATAATTTTTTTAATGAATGTTCATATCCATATCCATATCTATATTTCTATCTCTGGGGTTTTGGGGTTTTGGGG